AATCATAAGTTATCATGTCTACGGCATCTTTACTGCGGTGTTTTACTCCTGAAGAGCCAACTGGACGGGGCTTTCTAACCCAGCTCCTCACCGCGCGTGCCTTGTCGTCTTTATGCATTGTAAATGCAGATTCGGCAAGTTTGTGATGTTCCTCGCGTTCTTTTTCAAGTTTTTCTTTTTCCGCGCTCTCGCATGATCGCACTTTAAGGGCCAGTTTATCGCAGGTGGCGCAAGTGTCGGTGTGAGGTAGTGCAAAGCCCAGGTTGAATTCTCCATTGAAGATGTCCCTGTATGTGTGTGGTAGGATTTGGGCTTTCAGTTTCGGTGGAATTGGTGTTGTGTTTTCCTGCTGACATCTAAGGAAATAAAATGATTCTCTATTATCACAGCTCCGAAAGTAATGCGTTTAGTGCATTTAGTAGAGATGTACAAACTACTGCGAACTGATGTCTTTAACACCTGTCGACATTGTCCTTTATTATTAAAAGTTTACGCTTAAGTTTTCAAATTTGCCATTGGCAGTCCTTGTGAACTTTTTGTATTTTACAATTTCCTTTTTTTTTCCCCGGTGTATTTCCTCGTTTTTCTGGCGTTTTTTACGTTGAAAGGGTATTATTTATTTTTTATTACCTAAGACCTTAAAACTCATTTAACTGTTGGTTTGTTTTGAGCTATTACAGTTACCTTATAATTTTGCGTTCCCTTTCGAGAACAGCTGGCTTGTTCATCTCTAAGTAATCGTAGTACATTCTCTGTACTGACCATCCTGGTTCCAGATACTCTCTGTCAGGGTTGTCTTTGCGGGAATAATGGGATGTTTGTCGAGGAAAGGAACTGATGTGGGCTCTGACCTATACAAAAGAACATACGTTAGAATCAATCCTGCGACATACATACAAACCCCAACCCCTTCCCTGTTTTCTTGACTTCACAAAATAAATAAAAATAAATAAAAAAAAACATCCAAATCAAGAAAAAATTGTCATATTATTGTAGCTTAAATATATTGCAAGGAGTTAAGGCTAGCCTTTCCTAAAATCTCTTCAGCAAATATATCCACACAGGATTACTTTTAGTAGTAAATTATGTGACAAAAGAAAAACTTTAGCCTACAGTCCTGCACTTTTCACAATCTTAACATTAAAGTTGAATTTTGTCAATTTTACAGGGCAAACTGACCTCCACTTGAAATAATACTAGAATCTGCCCAAAACAAAAACAATTTGATGGTATTCATTTGGCATTTCAATCAATCAATCAATCAATCAATCAAAGTTTATTGTCTAACGTGAGGCATGGTTGCCCAATTGCCCGAGCCAGAGGCTCATGTATAAAATGGTAGACTATAAACTAACTATAATTAAAGGTACATTATAAGAAGTACTTATAAGTCAAAATAAATCCCAGCATGTAACTAACTAGGTGGTGGGAATGGCGGGATCCCGCCTTAGGTGGTGGGATCCCACCTTTCCCACCTGGGATGAAAATTTGATCCCACCTGGGATCCCGCATTTAATGCGGGATTCCTGCATCCTACCCGGGAGCTTAGGTGGGACTTATGCATTCTACCCGGGATCCTGGTCGGGATTTACATATCCCACCTGGGATTCTTTATCCCAGCTACGAAAATATTGTTTTGCTTCGTTTTCTCCACCCCTTTCCAAGCTCGGGAAGGCTTCGGACTGTGCATAACCATTTGCAAACGAGAACTCCAATGCACCTTTGTAATCCCATTTATTTGCTTCTGTCCTTCGTGCATATGTTTCTCCATTATGAGATGCACTTGACTCTGTTGGCACCACTGCTAGTTCAGTGGAAAGACCGACTGAGGAATCGAGATGGCTAGCTGTGTTGGAAGTGTTGCTGAACACTTGTTACAGTCAAGCCTTGTTGATTTGGGTACTGGTGCACTGGGATCGTCTAGGTATCTCTCATACTGCCTAATGTGATTGGCTTGTGTTGTTTCTCACCTTTGCCGTCAACATAACCCAAGTGGGTTTCGAGTCTTTCTTTCCTTGAAAACTTCTGGCCACAAATCGTGCATTCTTGTTCGATTCTTGTCGATTATTTCTACATAGAGTGAATTCATATCATTATTTATATCATCATCAAAACATGGGTCCAAAGTATCCGCCATCCAAGAGAAGAGAACCGGTCAGAAAAGACAGAATAATGTTGCCTGCTTCTCTTGAGACTGCAATGGGTCAAGCCAGCGGCTAAAAGGTCCACGTGATCATGCCCATAATCGGAAACAAAGAAAACTCCATTTGGCGCTCATCTTTGAATGTACTTTTCATCGGTTAACCGCTCTTGCTTCAAGTTGTTTCTTTTCCCAACTGTTTTGCCAAGTATAACACTTCTAAAGATTGGTTTTATTTAAATGAAAAGAAAGTCATTGGCGCCGTGAACTTAAAAGAAGGGACAATTAATTGTTGACATATCGACTGGTTCAAACAATGATCGAGTGGCCATTTAAAGCTAGGATTTTTAGAAGTTTGTGGTGAGTACAAATTGCCATATTCGTTACGTGATCAAAATCTTATCAAAGAATAGAAATAACGGCTTGAATTAAGCTTAGCTAACGCTCAACGCAACTGAAACTCAAATTATTCTGAGAATCGAATTGGTCGCTTGCATGCTGAAGTTTCCTAAGCTTACACTTTACAATGAAATAAATCTATGAGTAAGGTTTCAAGTAAGCTTACACTTTACAATGAAATAAATCTATGAGTAAGGTTTCAAGATTAATTTAGTCACATTTGGGAACATTCTGACCTTGCTTTGCTTTGAAAACTTCGACTGAAGAGAGAGCAGACTTTCAATCAGTACCTTTGTCAAAATTTTGATAACATGAATTATTGAGGTTTTGTCTTTCTTTTATTCTTTGATACACAACAGCCAATTTTTTTAAACGTTGAGCCTTATTACACTGTAGATGGTCTGTGTAAATGATGAAGAAAAAGTAATATGCTGAGTTGTGCTGTTATTCTTTAAGAATGTTTGGTTAAGAAATTTGTTAATGAAACAAGTCAAACGCATGCTGGTTCATTGCAAATAAATTATGAGATCTTTATCACATATAGTCTGTGTATTCATGTACTGTTTGAATCATTTATGATCAACAGCTTGGTAAGACAATGGGATCCCATTGGAGGTGTCAGTATGTTCTATAGCTAGTTGGAAGGTTTTGGACCCTCAGTGGATTGATGTGGTCTATAGCTCACCTAGAAAAATTTATCCTCTTAATTTTAAGATATCCTATCTGGTACATTTCATAAATCTGTGGTCTCCAGTGATAAACAGGATCCCTCAAAGGATTTTTCTGAAAGTGGAAAGCCATCTGTAATTTTATGCAGGGTCTAAACTGGGATTGGCAGGATCCCAGATGCAATCCCACCTGGGATATGATTTCCCAGGTGGGAAACTATCTGAAATTTGAGGCAGGATCCCAAGAGGGATTGGTGGGATTCTACGTTTAATCCCGCCCGGGATGTGCTTTCCCAGGTGGGATGCTATTAGGAATTTAAGGTGGGATCCCAACTTCAATTGACAGGATCCCATGTGGGATCCCATGCAGGATCCCATGCGGGATGTTCCATAATCCCAGGTGGGATCCCATGCGGGATGTTCCATAATCCCAGGTGGGATCCCATGCGGGATGTTCCATAATCCCAGGTGGGATCCCATGTGGGATGTTCCATAATCCCAGGTGGGATCCCATGTGGGATGTTCCATAATCCCAGGTGGGATCCCATGTGGGATGTTCCATAATCCCACCCAAGATCCCATGCGGGATGTTCCATAATCCCACCCAGGATCCCACCTGAAAAAGGTGGGATCCCACCTGGGACACACCTGGGATCCCAGGTGGGATTGGCAGGATCCCACCTTATATTTTTACCTGGGTAGTGTGCTGAAATCGAAAGTCTTAAGTTTGCAACAGAAATCGCTAAGCTTAGATGCTGTTTTAAGTTCTCTAGGTAAACTGTTCCAAAGGTGACCAACGTTATATGTAAAGGAATTATGATAGAATCTATTATTATACCCTGGTTGCACTAGATTTACACCTTTATTCCTTAAATTATATCTAGATTCCCGCAATTGAAAAAAGTTTTTAATATATTCTGGACCGTTCCATTTCATACATTTAAAAAGTAATACCCAGGAACTATAAAATCGCCTATGTTCTAGAGTTGTCATGTTGCTTTTAGCTAAAATTGTATTGTAGTCAACACTATTGCCGAGATTAAGCAAAGTTTTAAGAGCGTACTTATTGACTGATTCCAGTTTAGAGCTCAGTGTTTTATTTATTCCAAGCAATAGCGGACTACAGTATTCCAGGTGAGGAAGTATGTAAGCCTTATAGAGTGATAGGGAGACATCTACAGGCATAAGTTTTTTGAGTCTCCTAAGGGCACCAATCTTGGCATAGACTTCTTTTATGACACTCTGTGTGTGATCAGCAAATGTTAACTTGTCGTCAATTATGACCCCAAGGATTTTGAGTGAGTTAGATAACTCGACTCTAGAGTCACCAATGATAAATTGAGGGTTGTAAGCAATATCTCCAATCATCATAGCTTGGGACTTTATGTTGTTGACCATAAGATCATTACGAGAAAGCCAAGACAGGAGGATGTCAATATCATGGTTCAGGGAGATTTCCAAGAAAGTGATATCGATAAGTTGTTGTATCATCGGCATATAGACGTAAGGAAGCGATCTGGCCAGCAAAGTTTATGTCATTCATATATATATTAAAAAATAAGGGACCGAGAAGACTACCTTGAGGCACACCACATTGAACGGGAAGCCAATCAGAGAGTTTGCAATTATATTTAACTCTTTGCTGTCGGTCAAGTATGACTGTATGAATCTGAGGGCATCATCATTCAAACCATAAGCACGCAACTTGGCTAGGAGTAGGTTGTGACACACAGAGTCAAATGCTTTGGAAAGGTCAATGGCAATAGTTCCAGTGACTTTCTTAGAATCCAGGGCTAGTCAACCATTTTTAGAAGAGCAGTGCAACATGAGTGCCCACTTAAGAATCCAGACATATTGAGAGAGAAGTGGGTCTTGAAAGTATCATAGAGCTGATCATACATAACTTTCTCAAGAATCTTGGGAATGGACAAAAAGATACTGATTGGTCTGTAGTTTTCCACAAGAGAGCTATCATCCTTTTTATAGACTGGAGTAACATTACTTAATTTCCATTCCTGTGGCCACGTTGAGTTAGTAAGGCTGTAATAAAGGAGCTTAGTCAGAGGCCCTTTGATTGTTGATGCAGATAGCTTAAGAATCATCGGAGTGATATTGTCAAGTCCACAAGACTTGTTTGTTTTAAGGCCAGTGAGCAATTTACCAATGTATTCCGTACTGACAGGTTGAAATGAAAATCCAAGATTGAAATTGCGCGACGAGATTGAAGTCACACCTGGATGATGTTCGAAATCTTCAACAGACTTAGTCAAAACAGCTCGATCAAGAACAAGTGAAGAGAAGTATTCATTGAAAAGATTTGATGGATCACTTACAACTGCACCCCTATCCATTATGCATGTGCCATCGCTGTTATCTTGTCCAGAAGACGGTAGAAGAGGCTTTACCCGCTTCCAAAAATCTCCAGGAGTTGTTGTGTTGGCCCAAGAGTCCAAAAAGAACCATTTAATAGATATTCGCTTAAGTTTGGTAACTAAGTTCCTTTGTACTCTATAACTTTCCCAAGTTTCGTCAAGTTTTCAGCATTTAATAATTTAGTCATTCCCTTTCATCCAATGATCAAAAATTATACTATTTCATGGAATCAACAATTTATCAAAAATAATATATTATATATTATTGGGAATCACAGCCAAACCCAAAGAAAGTTCTTGAGAAAAATAAGGGGAGGAGCAGGCCAGGCAGGGGTTTCATAGGGGGTCGAGGGCAAGGCAAATAGACCGGCTGTGAGGAGAATTTGACGGCCTGGTTTGACAATCTTGAGCAAAGTTTATCTTATAAAGAAGTTCAGGTCAAAAAGCTTTGTAGTCCTGTGAAAACCAGTTGCCCTCCTGTTGAAAATGTTAATGAAACCCCCAGTGGCATGAAAAGCCTTTAACACCAGACAAATCACTATTAAATATGTCCCAACCTTAACAATTTAATTAAAATCAATTATTAATATTACTCTACCATTCTCCTGCAACTATTTTGGGGAAAATATAGTTTAAATAAAATTGTGTTAAAAGTGGGATGTTTGCTGCCCAAGATTCATTCCTTTCTATTTTTAAAACAGCTAGGTAAATCCTTTGTGGTCCACAGAACAAAATAACAAAATTTTTGCTGAGAAAATACATTTCTCTCTGGACCTGGTGCCAGTAAACATGCTCCTTCTTCAATACATACTCTCTACTGTCAGATTTATCAAGGCAAAATGTTGCTGAAGATTTTACAGCCTCATCTATGGTTAGGTTTCTTTCAGAGTATGGGCACTTGGCCTCAAGAGCAGTTTCATGGTCAACAATCCCATCAGGGGAAGCACCAAGAATACTAGAGGAATGAAACCAGATTCCAGTTTCTTTAACTGTTTTCCCTGTCTTCAAGGTGAAGGCCTTGATAGCTTCCTCTTCATTGTTAACTCCCCATTGTACTGCTTTCACTCTTCAGAGGTCGTATTCTGCAAGAAGGCGTTTCGGAAGTGAGGAAGTAACTCGTTTGGCTTTCAGAACACTATCAAAGTTGCTGGCAGTAAGACGGCCCCTCCTTGCCAAATGCCAGGCAGGATTGTCACGCTGACCAACAGTGATCCTACTGATTTTCAATATATCTTCTTCAAGTATTCTGGATCGTCGAACTAAACACTCCAGTTGTTGTTGAAGCCCTCTGGTTTGGAGAAACTGTTCTGAAAATATTATATCCTCTATTGTTGGAATTGGTAGTTCGTTAAAAGCAGGTGGCTCTGGGCTGAGCAGCCAGCAAAGGCCTGTAAACCTTCCATATTGTTTAAGGTCTTCATACAGCTGTGCTCTGTCAACCTGTGCTGGCTTTCTTCCCAAGGCAGTGTACTTCTTAGGTGGAGGGAACATTTCTGCCACAGCTTGAGCTGAGAGCGATGTGTTTGACTTCCTTTTCCTCCACTGACACTCAACGTCGGTTCTGCTTAGATTTGGGATGCCGTGTATAAAGAGTGCAGTTGCATGGCTACACTTAAATGCTCCTCTTGGGCATTCACACTCAGTCGACTTAATTTCGTGTTGCTCATCCAAATAAATCTAGGAAAAGAAAACAACGAAAGAACATCACACCAAGGAATTGGATTCAGGTGGTCCCAAATGATAACAACAATGTGCTACGCTAAAACCACGCTATGAAGTAAACAAATCAATCAAAGACAGATCACCATATTATAAATATGTATGTATGTATATATATATATATTATGAGAGGAAAAAAGGATGCAACTACAAATGGAGAAATGTAGTTGCGTCCTTTTTTCCTCTCATAATATTTATTCTGCTCTGCTTCAACGTATTGAGCACTGTTCCACGCGAAAATCGACTTGCAGACTTCCTATATATGTATATATATGTAAACTAGAAAAAAGATAAAACCATGAATAATTAGATGAATAGATGAATTACTTCTCAAAAACTCTGCGTCAGAATTTAAATTGAATCTAATAATAATAGCACTATGATTTAAAAATGTCTATTCATTATCCAATAAAAGAGATTACCACAAAGTGATTTTTGAGGTATCTCTGTCTGACAAAAACATATGTAACATCCAGAAAACAGGACAGACAGAAACAATCAGATCAAATTAAGTACTCGTGACTCTAACAGAAATTTCTTAGCTCTAGTCTTTAATATATTCTTGGAGTTTATCTAGGTAAGAGATTTCAACTATCACATATTCTATGAAAAAACTATATTTTAAGACATTTTTCCCAGCATGCTTCTTTTTTAAGGTTAACTTGTCCTATGTCTTAATGAAAATCGGTCAACCTCTGAATAAAAATCTAGGTAAGAATGGACATTGATGTTAATATAGCCATATAGGGCCTTAGATAAAAAAAGTCACATTAGCCAGTAGCCTTCTTTTCTCTAGTGACATGAGGTTCAATTTAAAGATTAAACGAAACTTACCTGGAAGTTGGAGTTTGATTGTAATTACATGAGATAGGAAGTACATGCGCCAATCAGTTTTCAAAGTCAATGCTTAATGGGCATGTCACCCAATAGCAACAAAATTGGGGTGGGTTTGGGAATTTGGCATGTAATCTCCCAGCATTCTGTGACTCGGTAGAATTACAATCAAACTTCAACTTCCAGGTAAGTCTCGTTTAATCTTTAAATTCTACCTCGTTACCATGCTGAGAGATCCCATGAAATTTCAAAGAGACATGCGTATGAACCCCAACCAGAAATTTCTATTTGTTTGAAAATTCAGATAACACTGACATTACAATACAATACAATATTTATTTTGCCATATACGACATTTACAGATGGAAAAAAAAAATGAAGAAAATTGATAACAGAAAATAAATGGCGAGAAAACCTGAAAGAAACCATGAGGCTTATAACAAGTCAGGCTTTCTCACTTAAAATAACTAATCTTATATTAGAATTACAATATGGACTTAGGGTAATTAACTTTGACCGCGCATAGGTACACACACACATGCACACACATATTAAGTAAGTTAGTTAAGAATTACTGCCTTACAGAAGTTGATACCTAGAGAGAAGAAATTCCTTAAGCTTTCTTTTAAAAGAAGCGGAGGAGGGAGAACTAGTTATGTCAGAATTTAGCGAATTATAAAAGTTTGGACCTTGAAAGTAAATTGAAAACTTCCTGGTGTTCGTTCTGCACAGTGGCAAACGGAAGGACTGAGCATTCCTAGTATTATAATTGTGGATTTGACTATTCAGTAAAAAAAAGTTATTGAATTTGGAAGGGAGTGTAGAGTTCTCGAATGAAAAACATAAAAGTACCTAATTGAAACGAATGGATATCATGAAATTTTAAGAGTTTAAGTTCCTTAAAAATAGGGCCAGTATGGGCAATGTATGTAGAATTGCTTACTATTCTTAACGCACGTTTCTGTAAGGTTACAATTCTTTGAAGGTTTGACTTATAGGTACCAGCCCAAGCTAAATTGCAATAATACAAATATGGAAGGATCATAGAATTGTATAAAGTACAAAGGGAGTGAGTAGAGAGAAAAAACCTAGATTTATGAATAATACCTATAGATTTGGATAATTTATTTGCTGTTAAGGATATATGCGATTTCCAGGTCAAATTGTCATCTAATAAAACACCCAAAAACATGGTTTCACAAACACGAAGAATAGGCTGCTCATTTATGAAAACTTGAAATTCAAAGGATTGCTTCTTTTGCCAAGGCTTGAATACCATAAAATTAGTCTTGGCTAAATTCAAGGAGAGCCGGTTTGCTGCAAACCAGGTTGACAATTTGTTTAATTCTCTATTTAATGTGTTAATTAGGTAAACAGGATCATTATGGGAGATAAATAAGTTTGTATCATCAGCAAACAAGATTGCATCAAGCAGGGAAGCATTGTTCAAATCATTAACATACAGGATAAAAAATAAGGGACCAAGAATAGAACCTTGAGGCACCCCACATTGCATATGTAGAGGTTGAAGTTATGGGCTTATTGTACTATTTTGCAAAACAATATGCAGATGACCATCCTGTGGTCTGTAAAATATCATGTAAGCTAGCAGATGCCTTACTGGCTGCAGAAACTGAAGCTGCTCCAGTGCTAGGTTAAAGGTTAATTTTTATTTATTTATTTATTTATTTTTTGAAAAGGAAGTAAAACAAATTTTTACAGCCCTGGTAAGCCGGATTCTAGACTCAGCCAACCTTCTTTACATGACTGAATGAACACAGCTTTTCAGGGAATGACTTTCTCTAAAAAACTAGGACAATAACAATTCCTTTGACCACTAATTTCTCCTTACAAAATCGCCCCAAGATCGCATATTCAGGTAACAAAAATAGATTAATTGATCGCCAACTAAAATGTAAAAAGGGTGTTCTTTCTGAACCAATCCAGACATTTATTTCATAGCCTAATGTGTTGTGTCGATTCGACTTTCGTGTGTATTAAGTTGGAAATAGTAAGATATTGACACATGTTATATATTAGTATCTACTACATGGAATAAAAATGTGGAAAAACAAAGTTGTGTTCATTCACACATAACCAGTATTGTAAACTAAGGAAAAACTTTAGTTATAATCGAATATCATTTAATTGCTTACACTTGAGAATTTGTGGATTTGTAGTTAGGTGAGGTAAATATAGAATGAATTTACTTGTTTTAGATCTCACACTTAATGTAGCAGCCGCCTTTCTGTGTGAAAGGGGATGCGAGAATGCAGAACTACGACTCATCAGTCTGACAAACCAAACAGCATTTATTTAATCGAACATCCATGGTTTGCAAAGAATTACAGTCTGTATAACAAGGTAACGAATCCTTCAAGTTCACAATCTTGGTTCAGGAGGAAATTCTTGACATATTTGGTGTT